GTCCATCCAGGCTCGGACGGCGTATCAAGGGTGGCGGATATCAAAACATCGACCGGTATAGTTCGCCGATCCTTTAGCAAAATTTGTCCGCTTCCTGAACCTGAAGAATCTGGTTGAAAGGTAGACTTTCAACGCCGGGGGGCATGTTGAAGCGCCTGTCAAATTATATTAGCAGTTCTCATGCCAATATTAGTCCGTAAGCTGTGTAGGTATGTTTAAAAAATGTTGTACCTGTCGTCGTTGTAAAATTTAGAGAACAAGTAAAGGTCGATTGAGCAAATTACTGCATTTTACTATTAAAAAGAGATCAAATTCCTATTCACTGGCCGTCTCCTTTTTATTTTCTTCAGTTGCCTCTTACGACACCAACGGGATGCTATGGAGTTGTGGATATTCTTTATTACGCCGCAACTACGCGGCATCATCTTGGTTCACCAATTCATAATTAAATTTGGATATAAGGTGATCTTAAATGAACATTTTATGCTCATTATAACTTTTCTCGTAATTGATGAGTGAAACCACATTCTGAAGACTGTGCTTAAATTTTGCACTACTCCTTTCAACATTGGACATACAAACATTTGGCATGTCTCCACCACATCGTTATTGATATTCCACATATTCAAACTTCGTTTGCTTCGTCTTTCGTAATGCGAACATCAAAGGAATGGCCTAATTTGTCAGCCTCGAGGCAAGAATGCATAGATTTAATTTTCATCTTTATGGCTCAATATCTACGAAAAACATACTTATATAAAATTTATCATAACATTAATAAATAATTATAGATATAATATTGACACAGACAAGCTCAGGGTTTAAAGCTTTAGCATATGACGTATGATGCGTGCAGTAATAAAAATAATTTTGTTAATTGGTCACATCAAATTGTCCCCTCAATAACGATGCTTATCAATCCACTTAAACAAATTTGGAATGTATGTAGTTATATTAACAAACATTTATAAACATTTTAATCTTTTAATGTAAAAGGTAAAATTATATTCATATCTTGGACAGTTAAAGGTTGACTGCTCATTTAGCTCAAATGTTATTACACAATAGCACTGATGCTGGTGGGCTCATAAACTGAAAAACATTCTGGTGGGAACTGTGGATTTCTATTTTTTGAAGAGGTTTTCTTGCTTAGTAATGAAAATAATGTGAAACTGACTTATTTCCATTTTTCAAATTGTTTTCCCAGTTTATTTGTCTAATCAACAATAACACAAAGACCGTCACAAAAAACAAATCAACTGTTTTCAAATTTTATATTTAGGCTATTGAAGACCCATACAGTATTTCACAGCAAACAAATTTGATTCCCTCAAGTACCAATGAAATTGTTAATTGTTATTTTAAATGCTTATTTACCAGGTGCCCGGTGGTGAAGAAAAACATGTTAAGAAATGTACGGATGTCAGATAAGTAAAAATAGTTCTAAGTTGCGGACTGATGTCACCATAACCCTCTTAGGAATGGGACGTCCCTGTGCCCTACAGTGGGACATATGTAAATATAGGCTGTAACTTTATTTTACTATAGATGAGTGTTTATAAGTGCAGGTATAAAAGTGATCTCACCCTCTTACGCCCTCTTACCCCTTCATTTTGAAAACTTATTAGACCACCATCATCGCCACTATTTCCAAGTTTTATTTACTTACATTATGCATAAGTTTTGACGCTTGATGTGTCTTTGACGCTATAGTAAAAATAACTTACTGTTAAAAAACATTATGAAGACATGTGAAGTCCAGCTACCTCCCCTCTTACAGATTATTTTTATAGCATAAGGGTGACAAAGGAGCACACAGTCCACCTGCTGGTAAATGCATGCTGTGGCACATAGATATCTATTCTACATTTATCCTCGATTAAGATTCAAAACGCAGATGCATTGTCACCCCGAGGACTAAGATGGAATGCCTCGTTTCCAGTAAAAAGGGTCTCTGGTTCTCTAGACTCACCACACGAAGCACATCAGCATTAAGCTGCTATTTTACACTGATATACTGTGAGAATGTAGTCCTACCGCTGTTGAGCCGACCCATAATATGGCTGCAGCATGGCTCTACCACCTTTAAACCACTACCGGTGCCCAGCAGTGGTATGTATATAGACACTTTACTATTACTTACTATTCAAATCTGCATAAGAATGTATTCTCATTTTAATTTATACTATTGTATGACTCATTGGTATATAAAAACCAGGGATGGAAAAAATCATGATTTTTTTAATTTTAATCAAATCATGCTGATTTTTTAAAAAAAATCATGATGTTTTTGATTTTTTTTGAATTTTTTGATTTTTTTTGTATATTTGGAAATTCACGAGTTGGTAACACTTTTTGACATAGTAGGATTAAAGTTTATGAATACACTAGCTGTTCCTCGCGACTTCGCCCGCATGTTATTTGGGGTTTTAGTTTTTTTGCGCGGAACCCTAATTCTTTTTCTAAAATAAAAGTAGCCTAAGTTACTCCTTATGACATCAGCTATCTGCCAGTGAAAGTCCCGTCAAAATTGATTCTGCCGTTTCAGAGATTAGCCGGAATAAACAGACAGACAGACAGACAAAAATTTTAAAAATTGTGTTTTTGCTATACGTATCGTATATGTACTTTCATATGCATTTAGTAAAAAGCCGTAATTTTGACATTACAAACAGACACTTCAATTTTATTTATTTGTATAGATATGTATGAGACTGATTAAGAGTAAGTAGAAAATGCCATATGGCATTAAGTCCGCCGTTTGTACCTTTAGTACAATAAAGTGTATAAATAAATAAATAAATAAATAAAATAATTAATACTGTATTAATTACAGTTCATATATTAAGGATGAATTTCTAAAAAAAAATTGATTTTACTAAGTTTATGAGACTGACAGACCTCATCGCTACATCGTTGTTGATTTTCCAAAGTTTATTAGACTATTGTAGTAGAATAATAAGAATAACATACAACAATAAAAGATTTTACCTTATTTGTAGCCAGTTTTATTTCATTTTCTGCCTATTACATTAATTTATAGATTTTGATTTAAATCAATGATTTTTTTAATCAAAATCAAGCGATTTAAATCGTGATTTAAATCATGATTTAAATCAGTCTGATTTAAATCAGCCAACCCTGATTAAAAACAGTAAAATATTTAATGATTTCTTATATTTACGCAGACTACACATTAAATGAAACTAATTTTTACAGATTATATCGCGTTTAATTTAACTTTTTAATTCCCGACATTTCGGGGAACTTCCCTGTGACCATGCATGCTGTAAAGCACCCGAAACGTCAGGAATTAAAAAGTTAAATTAAACATGATAAAATCCGTAAAAATTAGTTTCAGTAAAATATTTGCACTCTTCTTTTTGAATGTCAAAACATGAAACATGGCTAAAATGAATATGAAAGAATTTTTTTAATATTTAAATAATTAGTTTTTAAAATAATAATTATTTATGTTATGTAAAGTACATTCACATAGCACATAATCATTCTTATTTCATCTTGGTTTATCATCTTAATACAAGTTTTTTAAAACGCTTTACCAAAAAGTTCTACAAATAATGTCAAGTTCAATAAAATATTGCTTTAGATCTGTACTTGATACAGATAAGTGTACTTTAACATTACATGTTTTACCATTTGTCCAAACATATGACTTATCAGTTCATTGCATATAATTACTAGTTATGAAATTATTAATAGTTTTATTTAGATATACTTAATTAGCTTATATACATCCCACTACTGGGCACAGGACTCCTCTCATTTCTAAGAGGGTTATACTTGCAGCAAGGTAAGTCCCCAGTCCAAGTCCTTGGGGGAGGCCTATGTTCAGCGGTAGACTTGTAGTAAAGGGCTGTAATAATGATGATGTAGTCCCCACTTTTAGAATGGCAAAAAATATGAATTTTTGCATTGTCATTCAAATCTACTACTTTTTTTATAAGTCTCATGAACAAGAACATTTTTTACGTGGTAGAGCCATGCTGCAGCTATATTAGTAGTATAGTTGTAGCATGAATGGATTGGCTCGACCAGAGAAGGACCACACTCTCACAGAATACCAGCATAAAATAGCAGCTTAACGCTGCTGTGTTTCGTATGGTGAGTGTAGAGAACCAGAGACCCTTTTTACTGGAAATGAGGCATTCCATCTTAGTCCTCACGGGGAACAATGCATATGCATTTTGATTTGTAATAGAGGAGAGATGTAGATGCCTATGGGCCACAGCAACCACTTACCGTCAGGTGGACTGTGTGCTCATTCTTCACCCTTATACTATAAAAAAGGCCTTTTTAATAAAAGAGGTAAGCCTCAAAATAAAATACCCAGAATTTTACTTATAATTCACAGTTTTACTTGTACTATTATTTATTATGTGGTTTTTCACAAATATCAAAAATAAAAGTGACAAGTGTGTATGTCTACTGTATAATCATAAATACCAATATTAACAAGGGTTATCAAGTACAAATACACCAAGTCAACATAAAATTTTTATGGAAAATATAAATGTGAATGTTACAACTTATACTGTTATTGTGGTTAACTAGCTTATATTTATATAACCATCAAGTCAACTGGTGAAACAAGATCTTCGTAAACTTACCTTAAGCAACACTCAGGTAAGATGACAATAACTTAGAAAAAAAAAATATTATGAGTTTTATAATTTTAAAAAATCGGTATCAATTAGAATCATATGCATTAAAGAATTATGAGAAATTTATTTTAATATTTATTTTTTAAATCTTTTGGATATTACTTTCATAATATGTTTTAATTTATAAGATTGCTAGTAACGTTAATTTTTTAACAAACGGACTTTTCATATTAATACAAGTTATGTTATGGAGTGAGTATATTTTGATACCACCCACTTCGATAAGATAAACAATGTTTATAATTTTTATAAACTATATTATGGTCTTTGTGTACAGGTTTTAATGAAATTACTTTTAAATAATTATATACATACTGAAACTGCCAACAGTGCCCAGTCCTCGTCCAGCGTAACGCATCCACCAGGGGACGTCGTCTTTTTGGACATTGTCACCGCCCGGACGCGACATAAGCATCGTAATCTTGTCGGCAAACGACTACAATTTCAACGCATATGGTTACTAAAAATTATTTACAGTAAATAAATAACAATTATCGAAAATTTTAAATAAAATCTTACCATTTTCGAAAAAATCAATTCACTACTTTGCACTGTCAGCTGTCAGAATCAGACCAAATCAGACGGACTCAGTAATCTATGAGACGGACAGACCGTATTCTCTATGGATAAGATATCACAGACTTCCCGTATATATATTACCCTACTCTATGCCACACACTGTTGTTGTTGTTATTGTGTTAAAATAATTGTTACGGCCCTCAGTTGCCCCGACAGGAGTCGACTGGGCTAGGGCCCATGAGTAACCCACTCGACGGGCAACCAGAGGGTTCGGGCCCAAATGGCCTATGGACAATTACCATGCAATGGCTGACAAGCAAACATAAACTTATCGAGTTCCAGAGGCAGGGTCAACCACAAGGCACGGTCAGGTAGTAAGTAAGTGGATGTAAGTAGTGTGTGAAGGTGTGTAAAATGTAACCTGACGTCACCGATGCAATCGGGCAGCAGACCCACATGCGCTGCTTGACTCCACAATGTGCGATCACTTGGTAGGCGTTCATCAATTGAGACTTTCTGCTTTTAGTTCACTATATTAGTTTATCAATTTTATTATACATTTAATTAACTTCAAATTTAACTAAATTAACGTTGATCGAACTTAAAACAAGTGACAAACTGCTTAACTTAAGAACTGTCTGTCAATGTTCTATGGCACATGTTCACTTAGTACAAAATTGTAATCGAGTACGAACGCGATCTCCTTTCGAGTCACAAATTTTTAGCGTTCTAACCGACAAGGGAAAATGTTTTCGTACGATATTAACATGCAACACAAGCAACTCGTCGACGCAAATTAATGGCAATCGAAGGTATGTTAATCACTCAAAACTCAAAAAAGGCCTCGTTGTCACGTAAACGTACGAGAAGACAACGCAATCAGAGGCGTTCGTCACACGGCCCAACTATTCGAGCGTAATTTCCAGACTATCAGCACACGGCCGCCGCGGGCAAACCGAGTGTGGCCGGCCCAAGCCGTCAAACCGGTTACTCGCCAACACGTCAGGCGGTAACCTACATACCATCGGATGAACGTGCCGAGCGTTTTGAATGCAAGTTTTAAATGTTAAGATTTGGCCTAAACAATAGTATTTGAGTTAGAGGCTGAAGTATGTGTTATTAAGATATTTTTTTAATATTAGCAATGCTATCAACATTACTAATATTCCCGTTTACCACTCTAAGCAACGCTAGACGGAAAATGAGGCTAGTCCCCGACTGATACGTCGGCCTTCAGGCTATTAAACAGACAAATGTATACGGCGAGAGCTACTTCCGTATTGAAGAATCAATGAGGGTTAATAATTTACCTCCCACTCAGGGGCGTAGCTACCGCCGTATCAGCCGTATCAATGATACGGGGCCCCCGGGGTACAGGGGCCCCAGGGTCCTTGGAATTTTTGTTTACACATGGTAAACAAAAATTCCAAGGACTTCTATGGGACAGGAAAGGCTATTACCATCGTCTATAGAAGCAAAGAATTTAGAAAAACTGAAATCGTCTTCAGATATGAATGGCGCCGAATCGTCTTCAGCTATGTTCGCTGAACAAAAGGCAAGAAAAGTGTATATTTGATTTTAATTGTTTGGCTAGCTTAGTTCTTAGGAGTATTAATTGTAAGTAATAACGAATATCCCCGTATAGTGGCGGGTAAGAATACTCACTACCCCATATCTTCCCGTGGGTGTCGTAACAGACGACAGAGGGAAACTGAGACAGAGGATTAGCAGCAGCATCTTTCTGATACCAGAAAAAACCCATAAATAAACTGCGTTTGCCAACCCGCTCGCCAAGCGTGGCAACTATGGCAATATACCCCCCATGAAAGTAACGAAGAGACGTCCCCCAGTCCCCGGTGACCCCGCTATTCCTGGCTACGGTGGCGACCATGGTAACGGCGGCGCAGGGGATGCTAAGAATCTCCGGTGGAGGTTCGGTTCCCACCTACGACGACTCGACCTGGCAACTTATAACGCACGCACCCTGAGGACTGACGAGAAGACCCTAGAGCTGGAAGAAGAGATAGACAAGTTGCGCTGGAATATCATAGGATATCCGAGGTCCTAAGAGAGGGGGAGGACACGGTAATCCTCCAAACCGGCAACTTGCTCTATCACCGAGAGGGCAACCATTTGTTCCAAGGAAATGTCGGATTTATCATCTACAAGTCTCTCGTTAACAACGTTGTAAAGATTGGGAGTGTGTCGACGAGGTTTGCGTACCTTATACTCAGAATCACCAAACGGTATTTGCTGAAGGTCATACATGTTTACGCACCAACTTCGGCACACCCCGATGATGAGGTGGAGTAAATGCATGAGGATATCTCTAGAGCCATGCATTCCTCCAAAACCCACTATACGGTGTTAATGGGAGACTTCAACACAAAACTAGGCACAAGAGAGAACGGTGAGCTGAAAGTAGGGAAATTCGGAATAGGGCAACGGAACCCAAGGGGCCAGCAGCTGGCCGACTTCATAGAGAAAGAGGGATTCTTTATGATGAACTCTTTCTTCCAGAAGCGGCCTCACAGGAAGTGGACCTTCTTCAGTGATGTCTCAGTGATCGCGAGGGTGAAAACTGGCAGCGATCACCGAATGGTGAGAAGCACACTGAACCTAAACGTTAAGTCTAATGAGGTCAACGCTCCGTCCCCCTCGTACTCTAATCCAAAGTCCCGAAACCTTTCAGCTCAAGCTACGAAACCGTTTTCAGTGCCTAAAAGATTGCAATGCAGTGGACGATATGAATGACAAGTTCGTGGAAACTGTCCATGCGGTCGGAGCTAAAAGTTGCAAGAACCGCCGCAGAAGAACACAAAAACTCTCCGATCACACTTAATCTCATGGCTGTAAGACGGGATATCTTACAGCCTACATTCCTCAGTAGATTTGACAGCATACAGGCCACTGAAAAGACAGATCTCCAAATGCATGCGGCGGGACTTACGCAACTTTAATACTGCTCGTATTGAAGAAGCAATCGAGCGAAACCAGGGCTCCAAAGTCATTGCTAGAGATCTGTCCGCCAGAAAGAGCCAACTGTCGAAGCTGATTACCGAGTGCGGCAGCGTCGTTTCCGGGACACCTGAGATTTTCAGTGATATTGAGAGGTTCTATGGGCAGCTGTACACATCATCGTTGGAGCCACACGCAAGTATGAGTAACGATCCAAGAGCAAGTCTTATCCGACACTATTCCGAGGATATCCCAGACGTCAGTCTGAGCGAGATTAGAATGGCTCTCCAGCACTTTAAAAACGGCAAGGCCCCAAGCGAGGATGGATTTACAGCGGAGCTTCTGAAAGCGTGTGGAAAACCCGTACTTGAAGTCCTTCAGAAGCTCTTTAATTCCGTCCTCCATGGTGGCATTACACCGGAGGCGTGGAGCAGAAGTGCGGTGGTCTTATTCTTCAAGAAACGTGTCAACGCTCTCTTGAAGAACTACAGGCCGTCTCGCGCGCAGACTTGACGACTTCCAGCCTCCCGAACAAGCTGGTTTCCGAAAAGGCTTTAGCACCATAGACCACATACATAAATTCGGCAAATTCGGCAAATTGTACAGAAGTTCGAGGAGTACAATTTGCCACTATGTCTGGCATATGTGGACTATGAGAAAGCCTTTGATTCCGTCGAAATTTGGGCGGAACCAGAGTACGAAACCTATCCATTTGCAGAGAGGTGTATAACAGGGTGACGTTATATCCCCGAAACTCTTCACAGCTGCGTTGGAAGACGTTTTCAAGCTTCTGTACTGGAAAGGATACGGTATTAACATCAATGGCGAGTACATCACTCACCTTCGATTTGCCGACGATATAGTCCTTATGGCAGAATCGCCGGAGGACCTAAGCGCTATGCTCAATGACCTCAATAGTGTCTCCCAACGGATAGGTCTTAAGATGAACATGGACAAAAAAAAAGATCATGTTTAATGTCCATGTCACACCTATGCCGATAGTTGTTGGGAGCACTAAGCTCGAAGTTGTTGACGAGTATGTTTACCTGGGACAAATAGTCCGACCAGGTAAGTCCAACTTCGACCGAGAGGTCAATCGACGGTTTCAAGTCGGTTGGGTAGCGTTTGGGAAATTACGGCACATCTTCTCGTCAGGTATGCCTCAAAACTTGAAAACGAAACTGTACAACCAGTGCGTATTGCCAGTGATGACCTATGGAACTGAGACGTAGTCCTTCACTGCTGGCCGCATGAGAAAGCTCAAGGTCGCTCAGCGAGCTATGGAGAGGGCTATGTTCGGGGTTTCTCTGCGTGATAAACTTAGAAATGAGGATATCCGCAGTAGAACCAGAGTGATCGACGTAGCCCGACGGATTACTAAGCTGAAGTGGCAATGGGCCGGCCATATAGCTCGAAGAACCGACAACCGACGGGGAAAAAAGGTTCTTGAGTGGCAGCCTCGTACCGGCGGACGAAGAGTAGGGCGTCCCCTCACTAGATGGAGTGACGACCTGGTAAGACATGCAGGAAGTCGATGGATGCAGGTGGCTCAGGAACGTGCTTTGTGGCATTCTTTGGGTGAGACCTATGTTCAGCAGTGGACTTACGAAGGGCTATTATGATGATTAATAACGAATAATCAATAATATATAATAATTTTAATTCAAAGCAAAAACGCTTGTTTTGTTCCCTTTATGAAATCTTTACTCTTCATTGGGGCCCCCCAACAAATTTTGATACAGGGCCCGTCTAAGGCACGCTACGCCACTGCTCCCACTAGATGTCACTAGCTTGAACTGAGGTGAAGTTATTGTTACACAGTATCACCTTAAGTAAGAAGTTGCGATTCAAATAAAAGTTTTCGGTTGTATTTAGTGTTGAAACTATTTACATATATAATTATAATATCTACTACCCGTGCATTTAAATAATGGGATTGAAAATGGCGTTGCCTTTATTCACCTCTCACTCGCACACTGTCACTATCTATATTCACACCCATCGGTAAATCTTTTTAAAAATTTTTCGTAGGTTCTATAACTTCAGTCCAACTTATCATTGGAATCAATGATAAGAAAATGCCATAAACTATAATAAAAATTTAGTCCGGTTTTGCAATTTTTCAGTTAAAATTTTTGAGTTACGACGCGTTCTGTGAGTTTTTTTTAAATTTCTATTGTTTTTTTTTTGTTTGTTAATATTTAGTATAAAATATTTACAAGCCATTGAGACTGGTTAGCATTTTGCTAAACGTGGTCCTTCACTGCTGGCCGTGCTAGGAAGCTCAAAGTCCCTCAGCGTGCAATGGAAAGGGCAATGCTCGTAATATATCTATGGGATATAGTCCGTACCGAGGAAACCCGCAGAAGGACAAGAGTAACTGACATAGCCCAGCAAATCAGTTTGCTGCAGTGGTATTGGGACAGCCTCATAGTTCGAAAAACTGACAACCGGTGAAGAAACGTTCTCGAGAGACAGTCTCATATCAATAAGTAAATATTTCATCGGCCACCACTATATGGAGTAACAACCTGGTAAGATATGCTGTGAGAGGCGATTATAAATAAATAAATTAATATCAGTATAATATCAGATCAGTACATCACAATAAACTAAGTAACAATGAACTATACAACTAAATAACAGCTATAAATATTACTAAATAAGATCTAGGTGGGAGACTGGTGCCCAAACTAGGTTTCTCTGTGCTATGGGATCACCAGGCCCTTCCCTCAACAGAAGTGATATTGCTCTAAAACACTTAATAATCAATACAGCTACGTGTAATAAAATTGCATTAATTTTTTTTTAGGCGATGGGTTAGGGTGGGTTTTGTGGCATTGTTTGGGAAAGCCTATATTAAGCAATGAACTTGTGAAGGACTATAATGATGATGACGATTGATAAAAAAACTATGACTGACAAACACAGTACACTTAATTGATAAGTGGATGCTGTGTATCCATACTTAGAATATACTGGCACATCTATGTTATATATATATATATATATATATATATATATATATATATATATATATAAGATATTAGGTATTTCGTTTTTAGGATTGAATAAAATAAACTATGTTGTGTAGCTCTGTAAACAAAGTTTTATATTCATTAATTCTATGAGATATATTATATGAATAATATATCTCATCGTCGCTTACCTACCCAATTATTTTATATGTCTAGTGAAATAAAGTTGATTGATGAATGAATTGATTTATTTTGAATGGTTTAAAACATACATACAATCACACCATCTCATCACAGTTACAAGTACATATATAAAAACGTAATTTTTGCAATACTAGATATTTTCTGTTTCTCATCACTAGACCCTTCTGTCAAAAAGATCAAGCTATGTTGTATAGGGTATAATATTATATTTCTGTATAGGACAGTTACTATACTCTTTGATATACAGTAATCTATTATAAAGAGCAAAGAGGAACGATTTAGGAAGTTTTGGCGGGAACTTGACCAGTGGCGGATTGCTGCTCCTGTGTTATTGTTTAAATAATGGTTTGAAGTGGAATTTGATATGTAAAAGTGGTGCGATTTTGTGTATTAAGTGTCTGCGTATGTGAACTATTAGTGGAAACGGTGAAAGAAGTGCTCTGATGGTGATGTGATTCTTAAGATAAAGTGTCTGTGTGCTTAGGCACCTTGAGATACCATCGCCAACTGTCAGCTGTCTGCTGGCTCAAGTTGCGGTCAAAATCTCCCAAGGGCTGCACAATGTGACGCATCAACATATTGTGAAACAATGTGCTATGAAGTATAATTATACATTGTAATTTCAGTCTCAGAAGGGCTAGAACCCAGAGCCGTAAAGCCAGTTATATAAAAGGAACGATTTATCGGTTTTGATTTTGCTAAATTTTAAGGCTTATTAATTTAAATATCTTTTGAACTTGTATAAATAAATTACATTTTAATTAATCGAAAATAATAGTATTACTGTTAATAAAATATAAATTAATACATGCGTTGGTTTAATTATATTATTATCGAGACAATTGTGAAATTGTGAATAAGTTAAGTTTACTCGATCAGAACGCATTTTCTAAATGTCTTCTGTCGGCTTCAGCTTCAGTCATATTTGCGGATTAAATTTTTATACATTTTTTGCTGTAATTACGGTTTGTCCTTAAACGGGATCGCAAATTTTGTAATTTATGTTGATAGAACAGGAATAGTGTAGACATGCAACCGACGACAATGCTTCCGAAGTTATCAGATACAACTCAAACTATGTAAGTGGATGGTTTTGACATTGTTAGAGAGGCCTACTTTTGGAGTTACTGTGAAAATAGTAAATGTTTAAATCTTACAAAAGTTCAATATATATTATTAAGTTAAAACCCTTTGGTCATTAAATTTGGTTTTTGTAACCTGTTGTAAGCTTATTCAAAATATATCCTTAGTAAATTTATATTTGCAAATTTTCTTTTCAATAAAAGAATCAGTCTACAAAAATTTCAATAAACAACTAACTACAACATTATCTTATGTTTTATCTTCTTTTTACTTTTTATATTTATGTATTTCTTCAACCATTTAGATGCAACCATTATGGTTAAGAAGTGTTTTCTGAGATTGCACTGGAGCTTACAGAGTGTTCAAAGCGTTGACATTAATAGATTCGAAGATATCGTTTTTCCAGTACTTTCTGACCTTATATGAACATTTTTGTATCAGTTGAATGCACATCTAAATTGAGGGTGAAACCACTAACATGACTTCCCTAGGTTGCACATTTATCACATAATATGATGTAATTTGCAGATCTTGTTCAAAATGTCACTGTCTTATGTGGATTGCTTCTAGTAAACAAAGTATTCATAGGAATCAATATAAAGCCACAAGTCTGTACACTGCCTGTGCTCTAATGACCCAGTGGATGTTTTGATTATGTTTTTATTTAACATTAGAAATAAAAATTGGCCAAGTGCGGGTCAGACTTGAGCATAAAGGGTTCCTTACCATTGTACAAGATTTAATACTATGTATGCAAAAAAAAAAACTCTTTTCTAGTAGCCCTTATAATTTTTACTTCATTTTTATTATTTGTTGTTATAGTGGTAACAGAAAAACACATTCTGTGAAAATTTCAACTGTCTACTTATTAAGGATCATGAGATACAGACCGCTGACAGACAGACAGATGGACAGTGGAGGTTTACTAATAGCGCCCTGTTAGTTACTTTTCCAGTACGGAACTAAAAAAGAGGGTTGATTTGAGATAAAAACAGTACGAAAAATAGATTCTTGATTTTGTAATCTTAGAATGTTTTTACAAATTTCTGAGGACATGATTTAGTTATCTTAAATTTTTCATATTGTTTTAGAAACCATTTTATATCAAAAATAATATGTAGATTTAAAAATAACTGTATATCTGTGTATTGACTACAGATCATTCTCGGAGGGCGATGGAGTGTGCAGCTCAGAGGTGTATGCATCAGATGTTATTGTCACTACTAATGCTGGCAGCCACAATCATGGGAGCTCAAAAGTTAAACTTAAAAATCTTGTTGACTACAATTGGGAGCCCAAGTTTTACCCTGGTCAGCTGCTAGCAGTACATATAAGTGGCAAATATTTGGCTTATTCAATAAAAGGTATTTTCTACTAGAATAGAATAGAATAATTTTTTATTCAATATTGATTATTACATAATACTTATTGAAAGTCATTTTTTATTTACCACTGGTTCGGAAAACACCCCAGTCCTGGGAAGAACCAGCAAGAAACCCAGCGGGACTGTTTTTTTCAAACATATTTCACTTAACAATAACTTTGTTTATACAATTTTTAAATGATTTTTCATAGAACCAGCATGGTGGTGATCACCTTATTCCCAGGGGTTATTTTCATTCATGTATTCCTTGATATTATAATAACCCTTTTTGTACAGTTTTTCTTTAATAAAACTTATAAACTTGTTTATTGACAAACTTTGAATATGTTCTGGGATTTTGTTGTAAAAGCGTATACATTGCCCCATAAATGAATTACTGATTCTGTGGAGTCTAGTAACTGGCATTACATGCTTATGTTTGTTCCTAGTGTTTAAAGTATGCACATCGTTATTCTTATTAAAGCTATTTATGTTTTTATGCACATACATTACATTCTCATATATATATTGCGATGCCATAGTTAATATGTTTATTTCTTTAAATTTTTCTCTGAGGGACTCTACAATTTAGGTTATAAATCGCCCGTACAGATCTCTTTTGCAAAACAAATATAGCTTCAATATCAGTCGCATTACACCATAGCAAAATTCCATAAGACATTATGCTATGAAAGTAACTAAAATACACTAATCTAGCTGTCTCAACATCTGTGAGACTTCTAATCTTTCTTACAGCATATGCTGCAGAACTAAGTCTGCTTGCTAATTTAGATACATGGGGGTCTCATTGAAGTTTCGCGTCAATAGTAATACCGAGAAAAACAGTGGTATCCAAAAGACTCAACTCCTCCCCATTTAACAGCACATTGGTATTCGAATGTTTTACATTAGGTATTGTAAATTCAATACACTTTGTCTTATTGCCGTTTAAGAGCATATTGTTGGCGTTAAACCAATGTACCAATTTTGATAGAGTATTATTTACATCATCATAATTAATTAACTGCTGTTTGAGTTTGAAAATTAAAGAGGTATTGTCAGCAAATAATACTACATCGTGATTGTCCCCTACAAGATAAGGTAAGCCATTAATATACATTAAAAACAGGAATGGGCCAAGAATCGAGCCCTGAGGAACGCCCATTGATACTACTGATCCGGAGGAACCTTTACCATTGATCACGACTTTTTGAGTTCTGTTAATAAGTCTAAGCACTAAATTTTTTACACTGTAATGTTGTAGTTTCCTGATTAATGTCTCATGATGAACACAATCAAAAGCCTTGGAAAGGTCACAGAAAATACCTAAGGCATCTTGTAAATTCTCCCAGGCATTAAAAATATATTTCATAAGCTCAACAACCGGCGTCAGACGTCGAGCGACCCCTTGTAAAACCAATTTGGTTTTTATGAAGTAATTTATTATTACTTCATAAAAAATTTATTAGTATTAAAAAAAATTAATAATTGGTCCAAAATTATTTTTTCTAAAATTTTACTGAGAGTTGGTAGTACAAAAATAGGTCTAAAATTAGTGGGGTCCAATGTACTACCAGATTTAAATAAAGGTCATACTTTACTATACTTCATTTAATCAGGAAACACACCAGAATCGATACAAGTATTAAAGATAATAGCAAGATGAGGTGCAATTAAATCTATTATGGATGCAATAACTGTAACAGAAATTCCCCACAAATCTGCGGTCTTCTTAATATCAATAGTTTTGAAGTATTTTACAACATCTTGCGATAGTTTTTAAATAAAACTAATCTTACGGATTTCCGGTGCTGGAAAGCACCCGAAACGTCGGGAATATAAAAATAAGTTAATATACGCGATAAAATCCGTAAAATTAGTTTTATTTAAAAATGTGTAGTGTTCGTGTAAATATAAGAAATCTTGTGATAGTACTTTTTCAAATCTAAATTCTTTTAAACAGGTATTAACATTCTGTTTGAGTAATGACTTGGCGACTGTTGGAGAAGTATTCAATTACTCAGTTGTCAAGATAGGAATATCCGTGAAATATTTCTCAAACACCGCTGCAACTTCTTGATTTGATTTAGTTAATTCATTGTTAATTTTTAATTGATAGTTTGAGTTACGAGGTTTGTCTTTACCGGTTTCGTTGTTAATTATACTCCATGTCATTTTATTTTATTGTTAGCCGTCTTAATTTTGTTGCTAATATGTAACGATTTGGCTGTGGACCAAAGTCTTTTAAATATTTTAGAATAATTTTTGACATATTCTTTAAAAGCATCGGAAAGGTTATATGATCTTTCATGGTAAAGGTCATATAACCTTCGTCTGCTTTTATGAATTTCTACTGTCGCCCACTCATCAAATGCCTTGCGACTGTTTCTGGAGAATGTTTTAGAAGTGAATGTTTTATTAAATTCATTGTTTATAAAGGTAAATAATTCTCTATATAAATAGTCTGCATTGTTCTTATAAGAAAGGGATGGAAGGTTTTTTACCATATTACTTCTAAATCTCTCCAGGCGTTTTGCATTAATAGGAACAAACACAATTTTCTCAATGACCTGTTTTTTGTGCATATAAGGTAACGAAACCATTTGTCCGCAGTGATCTGAACTAAGTTTTTGAATTATTGATTTGTTGATTGGTACGACACCTGTAAAAATATTATCAATACAAGTTGCACTACACCCTGCAATATGTGTAGCTTCAAAGAATAAATTATTAAGATTATAGGATTTGAACAAAGAACAAAATTTAATACTGATGGAAGAAGTTTCCAGGAGATTGATATTAAAGTCTCCACACACTACAAGAGATTTATTCTGTTTATTAAGCTTAACTATAACTTCTTCCATAACCTTTTCAAAAGTATCATAATTTGAACATGGGGGTCTGTAAACACTGACAACGATAAGGTGCTCAAGCTCAACGCATGCCATTTCTACACTACGCTCAACAGAGAGGCTCACAATGTCTTTACGTTCTTTACATGATAAGGATTTATTAGCTAATATTAAGGAGCCACCACGTAATTTAGTATCTCTATTGAAGGAACTGACCACCTTGTGATTACTGAAATTAAATATGCAATTGTAATCTTTCAACCAATGTTCAGTAATACATAAAATATGTATATATTGTTACTATTTAAAAATAATTCAATTTCTAATTCTTTGCCTAATATACCTTGTATATTTTGATGCACCAGGTTGATACAGTTTATATTGTTGCTATTTTGTGAAATTGCATAATTATGTATTTTTAGGTTGCATTCTAAGCTATTTAAATTATCTTTGCTAGAGATTACCTCTATTGTCTTATTATCTAATTTAAATTACTTGGAACAGGTTCCAAATCAAATGTAAAATTATTGACCTGCTCAAAAGAAGCAGGTGTCAAGGTAGCCAAATCATTGGCTGAATTAAAATATAAATAATAAGATAGCGTATTTGCTACCAGTCTTAAACTATACTTTGATAGGTAATACCTATCTCTTGTCAAAAACTTCTTAATTAAATTATTTAAATCAATTAATTGAAATTTATAATTATTACAATAATATGTCAGTTTTACATTATTATTGCATATTACATTGTTCAGTTGGATATTTAAGTCATGTCTTAATTCATTTTCTTGTGGCAGACCCAATTGAATATATTTTGATCTTATTAATTAATTCTTGTTTTTCTTTACATAACATGATTTTTAATACTTATTTTATTTTTTATGTTTTTTTGCAATTTATTAATGTATTTATTAATTTTAATGTATTTCTTTAATTTATTGTTACTGCAAGCGATTCTTCCTGCTGTTCCCAATATGAAGGCATCTTCACCTGTCAAATCCACTGTTTGTAACAATTTTGAGGATTCTTGAGACGTTGTGCATTCTACAAGTTCATGGAACAGACTCTGAGTTTTGGAGGCTGTTAAGTTGTCTAAGTTTTTGTTTAGTTGTAAGATTTGCTCTTGGGCTTCATTCAATTTTAATTGCAATGCAGCAATGAATTTGAGAGTTCCCTCATATTCCTTGCTGCACTGATCAAACTCATTGACCGTTCCCTAAAGCTGGTCCCTTTATTTTAATACATTAAGATAATCTGTGTGTAACATTGCCATGTCACACTTTAATAGTGTGTGTAGTGTAGTGGTAGCCTTAGATATTTCCAGTGGTAGCTCATAGGAAAGGTTGTACTAAGTCAATATATGTATGTGGCACTAGACCATCCTTTGGGGGAGGCTTATGTTCAGATATGTACCAGTACATCTTATAAAGGTCCACTGCTGAACATAGGCCTCCCCCATAAATTGCCTCACATTGGATTTTGCAGGGCAGGTGGGTTGGCTACTTATTAGGTTTTTTATTATTTTCAGTTGTTATCAGGAAGATGCTGCTGCTCATCTCCTGTTTCAGTTTCCCTCTGTTGCTTGTTATATGTCCATGATGAGTTATAAGTAGACATCGGATTTTATGCATTTGCATATTCCTATTTCGTTTAGTAGCGGGAGGAACGTATAGGGACCTAGGTGACGAAGACGTATAGGGCGCGAGCGCAGTGGCTGACTGTACTGACTGGCCAAATTTTAAATTTCGTCCAATGATGTCAGTTGATGTAGAGAGGTTGTTTCCGGCGTACAAATTGATACTGGGTGACAAACGTCACAAATTTGCACTCACAATTTTGGAAAAATACTTAATTGAATATTGTCATAAAACTTATTGGCACAATTTTAAGAACATTTCACCGTTTTTATTATTATTAAAATTCTCAATATTAAGTGTCATCATCATTACCATCATTACAGCCCTTCACAAGTCCACTGCTGAACATAGGCCTCTCCCAAAGAATGCCACAAAGCAAGGTCCTGGGCCACCTGCATCCATCGACTTCCTGCATATCGTATCAGGTCGTCATTCCATCTAGAGGGGGGACACCCTACACTTCATCCGCCAGTACAAGGCTGCCACTCGAGAAACTTTTTTCCCCATCGGTTGTCCATTCTTTGAGCTTTATGGCCGGCCCATTGCCACTTCATCTTACTAAACCGTTGAGCTATGTCGGTCACTCTGGTTCAACTGCGGATATCGTCACTGCTAAGTTTATCACGCAGAGAACCTCCGAGCATAGCCCTCTCCATAGCTCGCTGAGCGGCCTTGTGCTCCCTCATCCGGCCAGCAGTGAAGGATCACGTCTCAGTTCCAAAGGTTATCACTGGTAACACGCACAGGTTGTACAGTCCTGTTTTCAAGTTTTGAGGTATACTGGACGAGAAGATGTGCCGTAATTTCCCAAACGCTGCCCAGCCGAGTTGAATCCGTCCATTGACCTCTCGGACGAAGTTGGACTTACCTAGTCTGACTATTTGCCCCAGGTAAACATACTTGTCAACAACTTCGAGCTTAGTGCTCCCAACAACAACTGGCATAGGTGTGACATGGACTTTATACATGATCTTCTTTTGTCCATGTTCATCTTAAGACCTATCCGTTGGGAGGCACTATTGAGGTCATTGAGTACAGTGCTTAGGTCCTCTAGCGATTCTGCCATAAAAACTATATCGTCGGCAAATCGCAGCACCGCCCAAATTTCGACGGAATCAAAGGCTTTCTTATAGTTCACATACGCCAGACATAGTGGCAAATTGTACTCCTCAGACTTCTGTACAATTTGTCGAAAGGTATGTATGTGGTCTATGGTGTTAAAGCCTTTTCGGAAACCGGCTTGTTCGGGTGGCTGGAATTCATTGAGTCTGCATGTGAGACGATTCGTAATGACTCGAAAACAGCACGTAGACACGGCTCAGAAGGGAAGTTGGTCTGTAGTTCATCAAGAGAGCATTGTCGCCTTTCTTGAAGAACAAGACCACCACACTTCTGCTCCACGCCTCCGGTGTAGTGCCACCATTGAGGATGGAATTAAAGAGCTTCTGAAGTACCTCAAGTAACGATTTTCCACCCGCACTGATGTCCGGAATATCATTGGAATAGTGTCGGATAAGACTTGCTCTTGGATCGTTACTCACACTTGCGTGTGGCTCCAACGATGATGTGTATGTGCCGATAGAACCTCTCAATTATATAAGTGTTTGAAATTTTAATTAAACCATGATCTGATGTCCACAGTTGATTTATAGAGCAATGGCAATGTTATTATGGCATAGTTTCTTAAGAAAATACAGATATTAAAAATTCTTATCTACATCTCATAATAGAAAAAAAAATGCAACCATTTGTATATTGTTTATCAATTATACAAGAGAGTTCAGTTAATGATTCCTGTATTTTAGTCCTTTTTTAAAAGTCCCCTCTGATTGTTTGCTTAGTCTAGTCTATGTTATGGTGATCACATGTGACTACTGTTCATGAATAGGGTTAATTCTAATTATTTTGCACTTGTTATATCACAAGCATATAACAAGTGTGAAGTGATAAAAATATGCCTACGGAGCAGCTGTATTTAAAGTTGTTGGTCTATGCCTTGTAGAAAATGTTTTGTTATTTACCATGATACTAAAAAAATGAAGTTAGGCAAATAAAAATTATCTATATTTAAGTTTACAAGTCATTACACAAATGAGATTAAGTTTAAGGCACAGAACAAATAACAATTTACATTCATATTATACAATTGCTAATGATAGTGGTTTTATAATAATAAATAATAATAATAATAATAATCTTTATTTCGGACCAAAATTAATCCATAGTAGTGTTAGTAACAATTGACTTATAAACTAGTGTTAGTAAACATTAATGTGTGGACAAACTTTTTCAAAATCGGAGAATTATAGTTCTCCGCTACTGTTTTCAAAATGCTGTTGTGACTATCTCTCACCCTTCTAAGCAGCGAAGCAGTTTTCTTACGTATTATCGCATGAAAACCGTCCGTGCGAGCTTGCGCAAACATCTCCGACGCACTACAGTATCGAGGCAGTCCCAACAACATTCTGAAAGCATTATTATATTGAACACGCAGGGCATCCAGCGACCTTTTAGTGTAATTGATCCATAGACTGCTCGTATACAGACTCTGGCAGTATGCCTTAAATGGGGTAATTTTTAATAAGTCCGTACATCGAGCAAATCTACGGGCCAGCATGTTACTCCTGACCGCTAGAGCCCTGCGTTCCCTCTCAATGTCTACATTATCTTTCAGGTCATCTGCAAGAAAATGACCAAGATATTTAAAGGACGTCACTTTTTTAAGTTTTGACCCATTCAAGAACAGGTCAGGTTCATCAGTCCTAGGCTTGCCCCTGACGCCAAAGACAATGTATTCACATTTTTTGACATTATATGCCAACCCATGAGACTCAGCATAGGCTACACACACCTTCAGTAACTCTCTTACTGCCCTCACCGACGGTCCCATCAGCACCATGTCATCTGCATAGCTGATGTTGTTAATACTAACCCCACCAACACTGCATCCGACACGCTTGCTACTGAGCTCGCCTATGAGAGCATCTATATATAGGTTGAATAATCTGGGAGACGTTAGACCCCCCTGCCTTACCCCGCATTCCAACCTGTACGGTTCACTAAGAGTATCGTCCCATTTCACATGATTTATTTGTTTACTGTACCAATATTTGAGCAGACCACATATCTCTGACGGTACACCCCTGTCCTCCACCTTCCTCCAGAGCACGTCATATGAGACGAGATCAAATGCCCTGGAAAGATCAAGGAAACAGGCATATACCGGGGTACCCCGATCTACGTAATATCGAATGATGATGTATTACCAAGTAATAATGCTAAACAATATTTACTCATGTTTTTTTTTGTTTTTCCAGCACCCAATCCAGCTAATCCTGGCACTTGGAATGGTATGGTGCGTGTGGTTTATAATCCTGAACCTGGTACAGACAGGCGCACTCTTATAAAAGGCATGAAGGGAGAGGTTAGTACTATGTTCTTTATTAATAGTAGATTAAAGTTTCTGTTAGTTCAGACATACTCTTTATATCATTGCAATTCACCTAATGGTAAATAAATATGGCAATCATGAATTGTAAACAAAGAAGGCTCTATAGGTGTGTTGCCACCTGTGAAGACTATGATGATAGTACCATAAATCGTGTATTCTGTAGCCAAGATTATGTATTATTTCTTTTTACTACTTCTGATTTAGGCTAAGTTCATATGACCGCGGTTGTACAAGATCACAGTAAATGTCGATTATCGTCTGCATTACCGCCCCGATCCGCGCGCAAGATTTTCGAGAGTTCGCTTAAGTTGATGCCAGACGGCCGCGCGTTTTTTTTTTATAGGAGAGGGGGCAAACTTGCATGCGGCTCACCTGATGGTAAGTGACATACATATGCCGTCATGTGAATGCTCCCACCGCGCGGATGAAGATGAGATGACACACTCCATTTTAGTCTTCAGGGATGTCACTGCATCTGCATTTTAATTTTTAAATTGAGGAAAGATGTAGATGACTTAGGACTGCAGATGCATTGTACATGGACTGTGCAGGGTGCTTATTTGCCTATGTAGAAAGTACTACATAGAAAAACATTTTCTATTCCCTTTCCAGCTACATCTGTGAGTATGATACTAATTTGTTTTAATTGATTATCTGATATAGGATTTAAATTATTTTGCAGGTTCAAGACCTGGCTTTCGCCCACATTCAAAATCAAGTGGTACTGGCGTGTATCGACGAACTGGGAAATTTCTATGTTCATGAAATAGAGTCCACTGAAAACGGTCTCAAGTATGTTTTTGTAACATTTACTACTAAAAAAAAAAAAAGAAAAAGACGCCACCCATTAATCACCGCTTGACATTAAATAGGATCTTCAAGCATAATAGGTCTATTATTGATTCAAAAAGTATACTATTTAAAAAAATATATTATTTTATCAATGTAAAAAAAATTATAAATCCAAGAATACAAGTCCAATTTGTATTATAAGAGTTGAATAAAATAATTTATACTGGGTGGCGAATAGGTTATCACGTTAAATAGGACAGCAATTAATACAAGTTGATAGATGTCTGTTAAAATAATAAAAGAAAATAAAAAATGCATTTTTCAAACAAAATAAATAGCGTAAAAAATTGACAAGAAACGCAAGAAACGCGCCAGAAAAATAATAATTTCGACACCCGGTCCCATTTCTTGTCACTTCGCGCATAGAGAATTATGCCTTAACTTCATTATTTTAAGTAAATTTTTCGCTTGAATTTGTTTTCACACACCCGCAGCGTGCGGTCCCTTTGTTTTTAATTTCGCGCATAAAATTATGCCTTAAATTGTTAGCCGTAAGTACAGTCTTTGTTTGATTTTTTCTTTATTTGAGTAGTTCGGATTGACAACGTTTAAACTACCTATCTTTGCCTTCAAATGGCATGGGTCCTTGACCTTCTAGAATTCATCAGGTGATATCTGTATGCATTTACATGATGTTATTTAATATTAAAACGAAAAAAATGCTACCGTGACTAATGTATTAATTGTTATATATTTTTTCAGTTGTGTATGTTTAAAGAAATTTATGTAGCATATACGTCTTTTCATTTTATGTGATAACTTTTTCGTCACTCGGTATAAGATATTATCAACTTAACACCCAACTAGACAAGACAAGCTTCCTCTTTTGATATAATATAGATTATTGGTATATAATACTTTATATTATATAATTATGTTATCCTTATTTAAATAAGAAATTTTAATTAATAAAATCTAGTGACTAAAGGAGATAGCCACAAGATATACCTTGGCTGATGCAAGGCACATAAACAAATCTTAATTTTTTTGCCGCATTTCATTATTAGGCTTTAAAAAATTGGATAAACAAAACCAATCAATATAAAATTTTTTGGTCTTTTATTTAACATCTTATAGATAGAAATATCATTCGAGGACTAGTTTTAAGTTTAACACAGATAAAGTTGAAAATATGTTCTACATTCCACATGGTCTTTGACTGATTGTGTGGCGTCATTAAACCTGTAACTACCGTATTACAGTGTCAAGTTGGTGCTAGAAGTACGGGAGGACACTGGGATTGATGGGACTACACACCGTGTTGTGTGGTGCCCATACATACCTGATGAAGATGATGACGCTCCTGATGATGATGTGGCTAGACTGTTGCTCACTACCCATGGAAATGTTGGTAAGTGCATAAAATGCTAATGTTTTTATGTTGATATATGCCATTACATGAAGAAAAAGCTGCAGACTGACTGTAAATTCTAGCCCTCTTTTTGTTTTGTATACCTAGGGTATTTAGTTGAGGGTTGGGGATTAACAAAATATATACCAAAGGAAAGGAAAAATTTCCGATCAGAACATGCTCCAGCATGTCTCTCCAGGAACGAAAGTTCGAATTGCCGAGAGCTGGGAAGAGAGGGGCTTCGAATTACCGCGTTTGTTGACAGATTTTACTTCGAAATACAGAGTGTACCAATTTGTATTGTTTTTCTTCTAAATACCGAGAGATTTTTAAGGGACCGAGCATATGCTTTGAATTACTGAGAGGTTCGAATTGCCGAATGTTCGAATTATTGAGAGTCGACTGTATATTGATTTAGTATTGATTAACACAAAAATTTAATTTAAAGTCCCTAAATGACAGTAGTCTGCCGTAAAAACTTTGTAGTTGTAGTCATCAGTAAGTTTGTTAAGCCTTGAACATATTTTTGATTTTTGCAATATTTTCTCATACTGTAAATTTCAAATTTTTTAAATTTTAAAAATAATGTTCATGCTGTTAGGGAAGACGTTTTCATAGCTTCATTGAACTCAGATCTCTATAGTTATAGTTACAGTTTGCAAAATTCCTTTTTCTGTAACTGTATGATTAATGCTTGTATTTTGCTACTAGAATATTATATACTTATTTGGGTTTTGAAATCTCTTGGTATTACTTGTCACGCTGAAGTATTTAGCCTATTAGGAATAGGAATTATGATTAGGAAGATGCTGCTACCCCTCTCCTGGTTTGTTTTAAATTGTTGCTTCTTACGGATATTCTTATACTGCCACTACATGGTGTTATGTCTTGTAATAACTAAGTCACTTCGAGATAATAACTAAGACACAGCAAACTTGACCATATTTCATTAATTTTTAAGTTTGTATATTAAGCAAGCTGTATTTTACTTTCTATTGCACATGACAATATAAAACACGGGTGTCTAATATACAAAATATAAAATAAACGCTTTCTGTCTTGACATACAATAAAAAGGAATAATTGAAATCATACAAAATTATGTAGTAATTATTTGTTGGCAAAATACGAATTTTTTTTTGACAATAATGTCTAGTCTGTGTTAATGTTTGACCACAGGCTATGTATTTGACAATATTAATGTAAAGAATTAATGTTTTATTTAATTAAACTATTTGTAACACATATTATACATGGTTAGTTTTCAAAGAGTAGCCAATTTTTAAACTTAATTTCAAATGTATAAATAATGATATAATGTTATTGCAATTTTCGAAAATACGAGTAAATAAGGCTTCTGCTTTTATTGGAAATTATCCCAAATTGAATGTGATTTATGGGCAATAATGTTTTTGCCTACCGATCGACTTATTTAAACTTAGTTAAAATAATACATTATACCATGCATTTGGAATTTAGAAAGATAAAAAGGACAAAATGTTTTAGGTGTTTTTTAATAAATTTTTCTTCACAATTTGCCCATATTATTTATTTTGAACCTTCTCTGCAAAATTAGCTGTATTGCAAAATAATCCTGAATACAAATTTTCGATTACTGCATTCGTTGTTTATATCAACTTTAACTATGTTCTTCACATTTTTTAATTCTTTAAGTTAAACACTTAATCACAATCCCACCTTGTGGTAAGTGGTGAGATCTGGATGGTAAATTGCATTGTCTTAGCGTAATAAAAGACTATTATTTCTTGCCTTGAAGATGGTCAGATTGCATTCGGATGGTAAGAGACATACATACATACATACATATAATCACGCCTCTTTCCCGTAGGGGTAGGCAGAGACCACTTCTTTCCACTTGCTACGATCCTTACATACTTGTTTCGCTTCGTCCACTTTCATTATTCTCTTCATACATGCTTTACGGTTTAGGGTGCTCTTGACCTGGCCTTTTTTTTAAGACGTAGATTATTCCCCTAAGCTATACGCATTATGAAAGACGAAGTAAACAGTATGGGTTTAATGCGTGGTACTGACCGCGTGGTTGTCCCATAATGGAAAGGGAAGCGAACTGTTTGGAATTAAAATACTAAAGTAGATTAAATTAAACGCGATAATATACGTAAAATTAGTTTTATTCAATTATTCAAGTGGAGGAAGGAATTAAAGCATGTAAATCCTGCTCATTCAAGGTAGAGCGTTCAGTTATAGGTATTTATTAAAAGCGCATGTAGAAAGTGCGCGCGGTGTGCTTAGCGCGGGGCGCGGGGGAAGGGAGGCAGGTTGTGTTTTAGCTACAAGTGATATATGTATGACCGTTGTGTGCAGCGCGCATGTGGAACGTGCGCGTGGTGTGCTTAGCGCGGGGCGCGGGGGAAGGGGGGGAGGTTGTGTTTTAGCTACAAGTGATATAAGTATGAACGTGTGTGCAGCGCGCATGTGGAACGTGCGCGCGGTGTGCGCGGGCGCGGGGGGCGGCGCGGTGGGCGCGGCGGGCGCGCTGGCGGGGCGCGGCGCGCGCGCGGCCGGCGAGCACGCGGCGCCCGTGCTGGCGGCCGCCTTCTCGCCCGACGGCACCGCGCTCGCCACCGCCGCCGCGGACGGCTACGTCATGTTCTTCCAGGTACGTACTCTGTGGCGCCCTCGCGGCGCGAGCACGCGGCGCCCGTGCTGGCGGCCGCCTTCTCGCCCGACGGCACCGCGCTCGCCACCGCCGCCGCGGACGGCTACGTCATGTTCTTCCAGGTACGTACTCTGTGGCGCCCTCGCGGCGCGAGCACGCGGCGCCCGTGCTGGCGGCCGCCTTCTCGCCCGACGGCACCGCGCTCGCCACCGCCGCCGCGGACGGCTACGTCATGTTCTTCCAGGTACGTACTCTGTGGCGCCCTCGCGGCGCGAGCACGCGGCGCCCGTGCTGGCGGCCGCCTTCTCGCCCGACGGCACCGCGCTCGCCACCGCCGCCGCGGACGGCTACGTCATGTTCTTCCAGGTACGTACTCTGTGGCGCCCTCGCGGCGCGAGCACGCGGCGCCCGTGCTGGCGGCCGCCTTCTCGCCCGACGGCACCGCGCTCGCCACCGCCGCCGCGGACGGCTACGTCATGTTCTTCCAGGTACGTACTCTGTGGCGCCCTCGCGGCGCGAGCACGCGGCGCCCGTGCTGGCGGCCGCCTTCTCGCCCGACGGCACCGCGCTCGCCACCGCCGCCGCGGACGGCTACGTCATGTTCTTCCAGGTACGTACTCTGTGGCGCCCTCGCGGCGCGAGCACGCGGCGCCCGTGCTGGCGGCCGCCTTCTCGCCCGACGGCACCGCGCTCGCCACCGCCGCCGCGGACGGCTACGTCATGTTCTTCCAGGTACGTACTCTGTGGCGCCCTCGCGGCGCGAGCACGCGGCGCCCGTGCTGGCGGCCGCCTTCTCGCCCGACGGCACCGCGCTCGCCACCGCCGCCGCGGACGGCTACGTCATGTTCTTCCAGGTACGTACTCTGTGGCGCCCTCGCGGCGCGAGCACGCGGCGCCCGTGCTGGTGGCCGCTTTTAATGTCAAAATGTGAAGTAAGAAAACGCAAAAGGTTGTCATTAAAAGTATGAGCTCTTGCGGGTCGATGGTACAAATGGGCGTGCCTCAAGGCTCAATATCTTGGCCCCTTTCTGTTTCTTGTGTACATTAATGACTTACCTTACATAGTAGGAGATAACCATGATAAAGTGTTATTTGCAGATGACACTTTAATTTTCAAATTAAGTCGACTATTACTAAAACATGACCAAGTAAATAATGCTATATCTAAATTAGTAAATTGGTTCAATGCATTGAGTTATATGTACTACGTACTAGAGAAGCCACTCTAAACAAAAAATATGCACTACTCTATGTCTTCGCGCATGCACGGGAGATAGTAGAGTCGCGCATACGCAGTTGCGCCACCACAGACTAACTAGTAGATTGAAACCACACTAAATGACACACTGTACGGATTGCAGTACAGTTCAGTTGAACATAGTGCATGTTCGGTATGCGAAATCTAGTACGTAGTACATATACAGGGTTGGCCAAAAAGTCGTGGATCAAACGCAACTAGGGGTTAGATGAGGTCATCAGCTGCAAAAAATTGTTCTACGGGGGGTCCTTAAGGTCAACCCCTGCAGAGTTATAATTTATTTTGTGTTTTTATGATAAAATTGACTTTTTTTACTAATTCTTACTAAAATTCGAAAAAATTTACACCTGTATCTTTTTTATAATTTTCAATAGATTGGTACAGATGAGTCCTTGCGTTAGACATACTATTTATGGTTGTTTATCGGGTGTGTTAAAGAAAATATTAAGTTTTATGAATTCTTTTTTCTCAAATCATAACTTTTGTATTTACTTCGGAACCCACTGTGTAAAAAAAATACTCTACCGAAAAGTGACCCTGTATTACAAGTTTTGGCGCATTTAATAGGGATTCTGAAAAGGTATTACACATGGCCATGAGTGGCTCTAATATCGGTTTAGGACGAAAAAACAAAACAACGGTTGTGAAAGAATTGTTTTAATAAAAGAAAACATTTTACAATAAATGCTCAAAATTCCTACCTCTGACCATAACACATAATCTGCACCGTCTAATAAAATTCCTACGTAACCTACGGAATGCACCTCTGTTGTTAATAACTTGCACCCTAGCAAATTCGAGCTTTTGTCGTAACTCTTGTTCGCTATTGTTCTCTCCTTGATAAACTATTTCTTTAAAATAGCCCCAAAGAAAAAAATCTAATGGATTTAAATCGGGCGACCGGGGTGGCCACGCAATAGGTCCGCCTCGACCAATCCACCGGTTGGGGAAGCGCTCGTTCAAATGATCTCGAACTGCTCGAGCGTAGTGAGGCGGGGCGCCGTCGTGTTGCAGCCACATTTCTGCTATTCTTGCTTCTGGAACCTCAGCTTCGTTAAGAATTCGGTTTAAATCATTTTGTAAAAAATTTAAATACAGAGCACCATTCAGCCTTGCTGGCATTTCATGCAGCACCAACTGCTGGCCAATTATACCAGCCCACATGTTTATACCAAACAGATGCTGGAATCGATCATTTCTTATGATATGGGGGTTCACTCTGGAGTAAAAATGTAGGTTGTGGATATTAAATACTCCCATTCTTCTAAAATTTGATTCATCCGTCCATAATACCTTGTTGAAGAACTGCGGATCCTCTCTGTGATATCTTAGCATCTCTCTGCAAAACCTCACTCTAGGTTCATAGTCACCAGGCGCCAAAGCTTGCACCCTTTGCACGTGGTAGGCGTGATATTTCTTTCTTTTAATGATTTGTTGCACCGTCGACCTTGGAATCCCGAGATTACGGGATATTTGGCGTTGACTTATACCAGGATCCAATCTTAATTCTCTCAGCACTTCATTTCCATTTTCAAATCGCACCGCTGGTCTGCCTGCTCTCGGAGCGTGCTGACCGGGTAAGACTCCCTCCGTGTACGAATTATGTACGCGCATAAAGACCCTGTAGTCTGGAAAACGATCACGGCTAGGGTAGCGTTGACGATATTCCCTGGCAGCAGCCCGAGCATTGCCGTCGCAAAAGCCATACAGATAATGCATTTCTGCATACTCCCGTTGGGTGTATTCTCTCCTTGCAGCAGCCATCTGTCCACTTTTGTAGCCAATCTGTCCGATTCCGAATCTAGTCCGATTCACACAGCACTGGATATAGGTAGGCAATCTATCACAAGTCCAAAAAACAAAGCGTAGGTCAAAGGAAAGAAACTGATCACAAGTCGTCGTAAAACCGAGAAAAAGAACACGTGCGTAGTCACAGGCAGGAAGCGAGTCACTAAAGAACACTAAACATTCTAAAGAAAGATGCTCACGCGCATCCCCCGGCCCCCACCCCGGCCGGCCCGGCCTTTTGTTTCCTAGAAAAGATATTGCTACCTGAACTGACGGGCGAACTGGCTTTTATTGACAAAGGATGAAATGGTTAGTGTGAAAGAGAGAGCTTTTGTTATTAATTGTAGTTCATGTTTATTTTTAATAGGCCTAACCGAGACTTACGGTTGGACTTATTTGGGCCTTGCTACGAATTATCGTCCTCGAAAGATATCAAAGCCATGCATAGCCATGTGTAATAACTTTTCAGAATCCCAATTAAATGCGACAAAATTTGTAATACAGGCTCACTTTTCGGTAGAGTCCTCTTTTTCCACAGTGGGGTTCGAAGTAAATTATCAAGGAGGGAACAATAGCGAACAAGAATTACGACAAAAGTTCGAATTTGCTAGGGTGCAAGTTATTAACAACAGAGGTGCATTCTGTAGGTTACGTAGGAATTTTATTAGTCGGTGCAGATTATGTATTATGGTCAGAGGTAGGAGTTTTGAGCATTTATTGTAAAATGTTTTGTTTTATTAAAACAATTCTTTCACAACCGTTGTTTTGTTTTTTCGTCCTAAACCGATATTAGAGCCACTCATGGCCATGTGTAATACCTTTTCAGAATCCCTATTAAATGCGCCAAAACTTGTAATACAGGGTCACTTTTCGGTAGAGTATTTTTTTACACAGTGGGTTCCGAAGTAAATACAAAAGTTATGATTTGAGAAAAAAGAATTCATAAAACTTAATATTTTCTTTAACACACCCGATAAACAACCATAAATAGTATGTCTAACGCAAGGACTCATCTGTACCAATCTATTGAAAATTATAAAAAAGATACAGGTGTAAATTTTTTCGAATTTTAGTAAGAATTAGTAAAAAAAGTCAATTTTCTCATAAAAACACAAAATAAATTATAACTCTGCAGGGGTTGACCTTAAGGACCCCCCGTAGAACAATTTTTTGCAGCTGATGACCTCATCTAACCCCTAGTTGCGTTTGATCCACGACTTTTTGGCCACCCTGTATATGGATGGTTCAATGTTAATAATTTGCATTTAAATGGCACTAAAACGAAATGTATGAAATTCATGACTCCAAATGTCAAACAATCAAATACTAATGTAATTTTAAATGGGGAGAAACTGAGTCTTGTAGATACCACCATTTTTCTTAGAATCACAATAGACGCAAAGCTTCAATGGAGCTTCCATATATCAAAACTAGCAAGCAGACTTAGTTCTGCAGAATATGCTGTAAAAAAGATTAAAAGTCTTACCAGTGTTGAAACTGCTAGACTAATTTACTTTAGCTATTTCCATAGCATAATGTCGTATGGTATTTTAATATGTGGACACGCAGCTGACACTGAAATTCTATTTCTTTTACAGAAGAGGGCCATAGGAGCAATTTATGATTTAAAGCCTAAAGAATCGCTGCGACAAAAAATTAAGGAAATTAATATATTAATTTTATAATATAATAATATATTAGTACATAAATATAAAAGTAGTTTTACAAAAATAAGTGATATTCATTCTGTAAATACTAGGAACAGACACAAGCTAGTAGTACCAGCTACTCGACTCCATCGAGTCAGTAATTCATTCTTGGGGCGATGTATACGCTTTTACAACAAAATTCCAGAAAATATACAAAATTTGACCTGCTGAAAGTTCAAAAACTTTATGAAACTAAGTTTGTATAAAAAGGGTTATTATAATATTAAAGAACTTAAGGATGATAATAACCCCTGGAAATGAGGTGATTGCTACTAAGCTATTTCTAGTTTGTTGTGTTGTTAATTTGTGTAACATACATGATTGTAAGCTGTTGTTTTTTAAAAAAAAAGGTCACACTGGGTTTTTTTGCTGGTTTTTCCCAGGACAGAGGTTTTTTTTCGAACCAGTGATAATTAAACAAAAGAGTGACTCTCAATAAGTATTATTTATAATCTATATTGAATAAAAAAGTTTCTGTTTCAAAAACACTATTTCACTAAATGCATAAGAAATAATATGCATTATAGCCCTTATCCTATAAAAAAATAAGTACACAAACAAATGACAAGCCATATCATTCATTACATCTTGTCTGTCTATTCTATATATTTGGGCAATGTTATTGAAAATATACCTGCTATATACTGTAATACTCATCATCCATATAAATTAGAAACATAATTTAAACATTGTTTAAACCAAAATCTTGCCAAAATTTCTATTATCTATTATGTGATATTGCTTTCGATACAGCAACTAATCTTTTTTGACTGTTTACAGCAAATGGAAATAAATTTCTGTTGACTGAAATCTTAAACTTCAGGTATACATGGACAATGACAGCAACCCTAGATGCCTCCACAAATGGCAGCCTCATGGTGGCAAACCACTCAGTTGTCTGTTCTTCCTTGATAACCACAAGAATTATAATACAGAGTAAGTTAATTATCAAAGTATTGTCTTAATTATCACTTCTTTTCCTAGACGAATACCATCTGGGAAAAGAAATATCGTCATTTAATTACTTAAATTTCTTAAAGTCGATTGATTTTTTTTAATTACTAGATTATGAGGAATTTATTAAAATCTTGTGTATACTGTTGCAGTGTACAATTCTGGAAGTTTGCAGTAACAGGCGCCGACAACAACACCTTAATCAAGAT